CCCCGCCCGGCGCCGCTCCCCGCCCTCGAGCCCACGCCCCCCGGCGCGCGCGTGCGCAGAAAGTCCCTAGGACGTCACCTCGCTCCGGAAGTCTCCAAAGCCGTCGGCGCAGGGGCCGCCGGGAAAACACCGCGAGTTCCCAGTGCAAAGCTGAGGCGGGATCTCCGGGGCCGGGACTATTTAGCTCGCCATCTGGAAGGCCCTAGAGTAGAAGGCGGGAGGAGGCGCCTGTGTGCGGACCTGCAGACGCCGGCCTTTCGCCGCGGAGCCCACCCGGTGCTTCTCCGCTGGCGCTTCCGGCAGATGGTAAGTGCCCCCGGCGTGGCCGCGGCCCCGGCGTGAGAACGGGGGCCGGGCTGCTTTGGTCCTCGGGTCTCTAGGGAACGGATAGGCAGCCCTTTCTCCCCGGGAGGGTTCTGGGAGCCCGGGAAAAAGCGGCTGGAGCGGCTCGGGTGTGGCTAGTAGCTTCAGGAAAGCGACAGCGGCCCCGCTGCCCCCAACTCCTTCAGTCATGGGGAAGGAAGGCCTGGTGAGCCCCGTGGGCAAACCCGACCTGGTCTCCGCCGACACTTAAGACTTGATCACTCATTCCTGAGCGTGGAAATGCACGAGTGTCTGATCTTGCCCCTTAGGATCAGTGACGGTTATCTAGTGGACCAGTGTTTTCATGTTATCCCTCCAGGGTGCACCTGGAAAGGACCCTGGGAAGACAGGAAAAGAACAAAGCTATGGCAGGGGACGGATGAATTGCAATCTGAGCCCTACTCTTCTACCAGCCACCCATTGATTTCCTACTTTTAAGCTTCAGGGAAAGAATTTTGCGTCTTACCATCACCCCAGAGTCACTAATAAACACTTGCTGTTCCGTAGGATTGGCTTTAAGCCTGTTCCTCTGTATAAGAAAATGCAGGCAAACTAACCTGAACAGTCTAGTAGTTCTCATGTCGGTTTGATAGTCGCCAGCAATGAGGTTGTTGTGTTGCCATCATAAAAAAACAAACAAACAAACAAAAAAAACAAGCTCAATGCTGCACCATTACTGTCCTTCAAGGACTCAGGCACATAGGAGAGTAAAACTTGGAGCTCTTGATATTATATTGAATTACGATTGAGTGTGAATGGTTAAAACAAGAAAGACTTTTAGAACCTAAGGGTTTATGTTCAAAGCTAGACATCTGCTATTTATTGTGTCAGGGTCACATGATTTCCTAAGTGTATATACCTGAGTGTATAATGTGGAGTACTATTAAGACTTTTGGTTTTTATGAGGGTTAAATGTGATACTGTGCTCAAGATTAGTTCATGATGTTTATCAACTTTTAATGTCTCAGAGACACCAACACCCAGCTTGTTGTTTTTAACATCGTGGTTTCTTGTGAATTGCATATACAGAACACAGGAAGTAATTTTTTCTCTGCTTTGTATTTGATTAGCGTACTAATCTGCTTTGGATTAGAGAATTTGTCCTTGGCCTTTATCTCTTCTTCTTCTGATTCTCTTTGCTCATCTTGGACTTCTTTCCATTCTTTCCCTCACTTCCAGGGTACCCCTAAAGTGAGGGGGAAATGTTACTGGAGAGCCAACTGGAGAATTAGAGTATAAATATATAGAAAACCTCTTGTTTTGGTTTAGGAGGCTTTCGTAAGTTTTTGGGTGTAGTTGGCTTTTTTACCCCAGCTAGCAGCTGAATCATTTTCCCAGTTGGGTCTGACTACAGAAACCTTAGAATAAATAGGACAAAATGATGTAAAATTAAGCTTTACTCAATCAAAATTCAGTGTAGCAAATCATTGAGTAGTAGAAAGGCTGTTTACAGCTCCTCCAATAGTACACATATAGAAATATACATTATTAAAGTTTAATAGAGTTCAGTGATCTAAATAAAAAATGTGATGCCTTTTAGTGAAGTATCTACAATTATTTATTTATTTATTTATTTATTTATTTATTTTGGTTTTTCCGGACAGAGTTTCTCTGTGGCTTTGGAGGGTGTCCTGGAACTAGCTCTTGTAGTCCAGGCTGGTTTCAAAATCACAGAGACCGGCCTGCCTCTGCCTCCCGAGTGCTGGGATTAAAGGCGTGCGCCACCACCACCCAGCTAAAAGGAGGAAAGGAAGCATATTTATTTTACATCTATGTATTCTTTTGTGTTTTGTTTTGAGACAGAGTTTCTCTGTATTGCTTTGGAGGTTATCCTGGAACTCTCTCTGTAGACCAGGCTGTCCTC